GCCAGCAATCAGAGGGGTCTGGGGGTCCCCTGCCCAGGGCCTGGGCCAGAGGCATCAGGCCTGGGCTGGGGGCAGAACCAGTGATGGGGGAAATGAGGGCAAGGGGCCGATCCTACGATTGGAGGGTGATGGGGGTCAACGCCTGAGGGACCCCCCCCCACACACACCCGGTGCACCAATTTTGTGCACCGGGCCCCTAGTCATTACATAAAAGGGTATGGTCTTTTTTTTCAATAGTTTTATTCATTTCAAACGGGCATGATCCTGCGGCTGTAGTTTGCCCACGGCTGCTCTAGGACCACAACAAAATCTGCATATACCGGGACTTGCAGCTGAAACGGAGGAGTGCAGTGATGCGTACAAAACAAAACAAACAGACATAAATATTGGCAACATCTTCATTTTATAGTAGACTGGAGCTTAACTGAATTCCTGACTTCCCCTTCCGTCCCCAGTACACTCATGCACACATGTTCCCCTGTATGTAGCTTCCCATCTCAGGGTGGTGGCTCCATCTTTCCAGTTGCTTGGACCAAAACCACCGTAGTCATCCTTGGCTCCTCTTTCTGTCATGGTCCATGTTCAGTCTGTCAGAAAATCCTGTTGACCTTATCTTCAAAATATAACTAGAATCAGGGCACTGCTCACCACTAACAGGACTTTTACCCTAGTGCCAGCCACCGTCGATCGTCCTTTGCCTGGATGACTACAGTAGTCTCCGTTCTCTGCTTCTGCCTTACCCCACTACAATCTGTTCTTGATTCATCAGCAGAGAGTCACCCCCTTTCCCCTACTTTTAAAAAAGGTATAATTTGCAAACAGTAAAATTCACTCTTTAGGCACACAGGTCTGTGAATTTTGATAACACACACAGTCTTGTACCAACCACCATAATCAAGAAATAGAACATTTCCATTGTCCCAGAAAGTTACCTCATGCCCTTTGTATTCAACAAGTCCCCTCCTCCTACTCCTCGCTTCTGCAAAGGGTCTTTACTTTTTAAAAATTTATTGGAGTGACACTGGTGCCTCCCTTTAGTTTACCTTTTCAAGGATGTCATATAAATGAGATCTTTCATTTAGCATAATTATTTAATTTCCGAGATTGGACGCATTCAGGTTGGTAGTCCGGAGACTAGCATACTGTATTTAAGATTCATCTACCTTGCATCAGTCAGTAGTTTGTATCTTTTTATTGCTGAGTAAGTACTCCACTGTATAAAGGTACTGCAATTTATTCACTAGTTGACGGACTTTTGGATTATTTCCAGTTTTTAGCAGTTCTGGATACAGCTGATATAAACATTCACATTCACACTCAGGATTTTGTGTGTACATACATTTTCATTTCTCTTAGGTCTTATGGTAACTTGTTTAACTTTATATGTAACTGCCAAACTATTGCTAAAGTGATGATACCATTTTTCATTTCCGTTGACAATGTTGGAAATTTCTAGTAGCTTAACTTCTTCATCAGCACTTGTTACAGTCACCTTTAGTTTTTTAATTTGAACATCCTAATAGGTATATAGCTGTATCTCTGTGTAAGTTTTAATTTTTCATTTTCTTAAGGACTAATGATGTAAGCATCTGGTGTATGTATTTACCATCTACACCTCTTCTTTGGTGAAGTGTCTGTTCAAATCTTTTGCTTATTTTTTAATAGTGGGTCATCTGTTTTTTATAGTGGTCGTCTGTTTTCTTACTGAGTTGGGATAGTCAATATATTCTGGGTAACGTTCCTTTATCTGATACATATTTGCAGAATTTTCACCAGGCCCATGGCTTATCTTTTTATTTTCTTGACAATGTCTTTCAAAGAGCAGAAGTTTTTATTTTGAAGTTCAATTTACCATTTTTCTTTTATGATTTGTGTGTTTGTCTTAAATCTTTACCTAGCCCAGTGTCACATAGATGTTTCTCCCATTTTCTCCTGGAAGCTTTATGGATTTCAGTTACAAATTGATATTTGTGATCCATTTTGAGTTAATTTTTATATACAGTATGAGGTTTTGTATGTCTTGCATAAGGACGTTCAATTGTTCAAACACCATTGTAAAAACAATTCCATTCCACGTGGCATCTGTGTCAAAAATCAACTGATCATAACTTTGTGGATTTCTGGAATCTCTATTCTGTCCCATAGAACAGCATGCATATTCTTCACCAATAGCACACTGTGAATAATGTAGTTTTATAGAAAGTCTAAAGTCAGTTCATGTGAATCCTCCAACTCCTGCCCGACCCCCCCACCACCACCCCACTTTCCACCCCCCACCTCCTGGCCGCAATTGGTTTGGTTATTCCAATTCCTTTGCTGCCATAAAAATTTTAAGACTAGCTTGATGATTTCTACAGAACTAAATTTTAGTTTTCTGTTTCATTGATTTCTCCTCTATATTATGTCCTTTCTTCTACTTGCTTTTAGTTTAATTTGCTCTTCTTTTTCTAGTTTATTATAATGGAAGCTTAGATAATTGATTTTACTTCTTTTCCAATATAATCTTTAATGCTGTATATTTTCCTCTAAACCAATGGTTCTCAACCTGTGGGTCACCAACCTGTGAGTCACGACCCCTTTGGGGATCGAACGACCCTTTCACAGGGGTCACCTAAGACCATCGGAAAACACATATATAATTACATATTGTTTTTGTGATTAATCACTATGCTTTAGTTATGTTCAATTTGTAACAATGAAAATACATCCTGCATAGCAGATATTTACATTACGATTCATAACAGTAGCAACATTACAGTTATGAAGTAGCAACGAAAATAACTTTATGGTTGGGGGCTCACCACAACATGAGGAACTGTATTAAAGGGTCACGACATTAAGAAGGTTGAGAACCACTGCAGTCTAAACACTGCTTTAGCTGCATTTTACATATT